TTCGAAATAACCCGACCTCAGCTTGGATAAAGCTGGAATGCTAAAAATGCCGCTCCTTATCTCATTTGGTCATAAATTTGCACACAATCACTTGTTCTTCATTTAATGAGGTTTTTCATAGAACAAGGGCTTCCACTTACTTTGATGTATACTTTCGCCGTGCTTCTGTTTTCTTATTCTCGGCGAACGGAGCTGTCTTTGGCTAGTTGCCAAGAATGGCGCCCATCTTGATGTGAATTTCCAGAAGAAAGACGAATCGGGTTGCTGCCCAATCTTCTAACTTCTGTGGCTCACCAGCTGCTGCAGAAGGGTCTCTCCTGACTCTTCCTTGCCCCCCCCCCATTTCTGGAAGGGTCCCAGACCGAAGGGGTTCTAGCTTCCCCCGGGGAGCTATTCCCGAGAGCTGCTAGCTTCACCAAGACGAAGCTCCTCCTTCCACCCCATCATTATTTCTAAGTAAGGTGAAACCATCAGTCTCCCCCCCACAGCTTAAGGTGGGACCAAAATTTTTGCTTAAATGTCAAAATTGCTTAAATGTATTACCTTGCTGGAATGGGAATTTGGCCCTCTACTACACCATTTTGAGTTTAAACTGATATGTATTACTGGTACAATTTTTAATATAAGAATTAGAATTATAAAAGGAGCCACTTTGATTCAAAGCATTTTCACAGATACTATGGGATGGTTCTCACTACCCAGCATTTGCAACCATTCTTTATCTTCTAATCCAGAGGTCATCAACCCCCCATCCACGGCCCATTGCCGGTCCATGGCTTAAGCCCGATGGGCTGCCAAGACAGACCTCCCGCCCTACCAACCCCGCATGCACTCACCCCCGCAAAGGTTGTTTGCGCCTGCGCGCGTGCTCATGCACCTGCGCAAATGGCGGTGCAGCCTCCTGGAGCCCGGCTGGAAAGTTAGCAGTGCGGAGGGACCCAGCGGCTGAAGACAGGAGCGCGGGAAATTCAAATAGCCTCCCCACGGGGCTCTCTCCAGCTGTGGGATTTCCCCATGCTGCTGGCTTTCCAGTCTGGCTGGAAAGCCAGCAGTACAGAGAAACCCCGCGGCAAGAGGCAGGATCCCGGTGCAGAGGCCATTTGATTTTCCTGGGCTCCGTCTCCAGCCGTGGGATCCCTCCATGCTGCGGGGTTTCCAGGGGGGCAGTTTTTCCCCTGAGGGAGTGGGCGAGTCACTTCTGGGTGGGAAGGAAGCCCCTGGGGAGGGGAGGCAGTGCGGGGACCCTCGGCGGGCTCATTCCCCATGCTCCTCGCCATGTAGTCCACAAAGACCACGGCCTGGGATGGCCCCGGTGGTGGCGAGGCGAAGCTGGAGCTGGCGCTCTCCTGGGCCACCTCGCCCTCCATCACCTTGCTACAACAAGCGAGCCCTGCAGGAACTGGATGGGGAAGGCCTGGGCTAGCTTAGCTTCAGCCTGGATGAAGGGTTCGAGTCCTCCGAGCCCATGGAGGTCAGTGCCGGAGCCCCTGCCTGCTTCCCCATTATCCGACACACACGCACACCAGCTTCGCCTCCCTTGCCCACCCCATTGTCGGTCCGGTGGAGCCCTGCATTCAAGGCGGAGAATGGAGAAGGGGTTCCCACCATCCCGCTATAGGCGCCCCTACACGGAGGAATATGGCAGCCACACCGGGTCGGGGTCGCGCTGCTCCATCCCTACAGGGACTAATGGTGAAGCCACCTCCCCTCCGCTCAAGGCCTGGCTCGCCCAAGAGGTGTGCAAGGAGCATGTCGCATGCAAGGGGCATGTTGCACATATGCACAATCTTGACATGCCCCTCCGCAAGTGTGACACACCCACCCGTGAGCGCGGGGGTGCCTCCACCCCCGAACCGGTCCACGGTCCAAAAAAGGTTGGGGAACACTGTTCTAATCCCTCTCCTACCAAACATTGGACATCGTCATGGTTGCTCCCACTTTGGTTGTGAACTTGTGACAAGTTTAAATTATGATGTTGTGCTTTCAAGCCAGTCTCCTAGGTTGTTCTGTGAAGGAGCAGAGGTGAAGAGTGTGCCGTCCTTAGTTGTCAAGCCGGAGGAACAGAGGAAAGAAGGGGAACACCAGGAGATGACAGGGGCTTTAGAAGAAAAGGTGGGAGATTTGAAAGCTGAGGAAAAGGCGGGAAAAACCAAGGTTTGTTTGGTAGAAGGGGAGTGGGTGGAGCAGGAGGTGTCAGTGTGGGAAGAGGATAAAAGCAAAGAAGGGGTGGTGTGGTTCAGCACTGTGGTGGAGGAGTATGAACGGAAAAGAAGGGAGGAAAGAAGAAAGGCATTTGAAAGAGTTTGCACCCAAGGGCTCTTAAAGGACTTTCCCAACCTGAAAGTAGGAGGACTCCTCCCAGATCCAGAACGCGAGACAGAGAAGCCGAGGCAAGTAGTGACCCACAAATGGACAGTGATAGTGGCACCAAGAGAGGCTGAGCTGTGGCGTGAGTGGGAGAAAACTACTTCTCTGTTTCCTGAGGGTCCAGACGAGAGGGGGTGGGTGAGGCACTCATGTTGTTGGACAATTTGTGCGATCAGGAGTGACCCACCCCCGTGGTCGGAGGACAAGGAATGGCATGGAGTGCAATACTGTTAAGTTCATGGGACTACAATAAGAGTTACGTTGAGGACAATAGTGGCCTGTTGCCCAAGTTGGAACCGTTGTTCCCTTCAAGCGAAGTGCTGGTGGACATTGGGGAGAATAAAGTTGACAGTTTGAAAGTTATAAAGACTAAACCTTTATTATTTCCCGCCGAAAATGAGGGGCCGCCTGAGGGAGGTAGCAAACCCCATCACATCTTCAACCAAAAGCTCCTTCCTGCATTTCTTATTCTATTACTCTTTTCCTGATTGTCAGCAGTATGATCAGAATGGTCAGTTGTAACCATTATTTCTTGATATGTTACTTAAGTATTATACTTTTCTGCACTTAACACATTTTATTATTTCAAATTTTTTATTCATTCAAAATTACATACTGTACAATAGAAAGAATTAATATATAGCACTTACTTTTCAAGCCAACTTTTAAGGATTTTTGTTTTGTACATTTCTTTTTTCATAGTAATGATTTTGGTCCAGGCTGTCTCTATCCTGACTTTCTTTGCTCTAATTTGATAGTTAATTCTACCAGATTCCAAAGTAGCTTTATTTGTTAATACACTCACACTTTAATTTTGAAATTTTAATCACACTGCTTGGGCTGCTTACTTTCCCTAGGGGGAGGGTTTCTATGACATTTCACACTTTCTCTGCAACCTACATTTGAACCCATAAGCAAGTTCAAACATGTTTATGTTTGTGCATACGATGCAAAAAATATACGACATTTCACAGAAATCCTCCCTCCATGTGAAACTTGGTTTTCTTAAAAATCATGATGCTCAAAACTTGTTAAGCAACATCATGGCATATCTGACTTGTGGCAACCCTTAGTAAGATTTGTGTGTGTGAGATATTTAAGGAGTGGTTTTACCAATACCAGTTCACAATGAGTTTCCATGGCCAAGCAGGGATTTGAGCCCCATTCCAACTTCTAGTCCAACACTCCTAACAACTACACAGACTGGCTTTGTTCATTACTTATTTCACTGATTTTACTGAGTAACTCTAGCATCCCATCAAAATTGCTGCATAACAGTACTACAGTATATACTATAGGGTAAAGGTTCCCCTTGACAATTTTTGTCCAGTCGTGTTCGACTCTAGGAGGCGGTGCTCATCCCCGTTTCCAAGCCATAGAGCCAGCGTTTGTCTGAAGACAATCTTCCGTGGTCACATGGCCAGTGCGACTTAGACACAGAACGCTGTTACCTTCCCACCAAAGTGGTCCCTATTTATCTACTTGCATTTGCATGCTTTCGAACCGCTAGGTTGGCGGGAGCTGGGACAAGTGACGGGAGCTCACTCCGTCGCGTGGATTTGATCTTACGACTGCTTGGTCTTCTGACCCTGCAGCACAGGCTTCTGCGGTTTAGCCCGCAGCGCCACCACGTCCCTAGTATATACTATACTGCATCCAAAAGAGGGAGACATCCCTCCATTGAATGCATACTTTAATGTGCTGAGGGAGGTTGATTATTTTAGAGGCTGAGGAACACTGTGGACACCAAATTTCGTTATGAATTTAGACTCTAGGAGGGGCATCCAAGGCTGGTCAAACTTGAGACTGATGCATCATCTTCTAAAATTAACAATTACATCAACAAAAAAGAATTGATCGTTCTACTGGTCATGGAGATGGAGACATCCTTAAGGTGCAGCAGCAGCAGTGAGGGTGACATTGGCAGAGGATCTTTCATGTGCAGGACTCCAGGTCACTCTTGTGAATCCTGCACAGAAGGCAGCAACAGTAAACCACTTCTAAAGTTTATACTGTACTTTGAAAACCCTACGAGACTATCCATTGAGTCCATTAATTTTATTTGTAAACGAAGACACTCACTTTTACGTCCTACCACTAATAAATCTGAAATTCTGAAGAAGAATCCTCCGAACCAAAACTAAAATACAGTATATATATATACTCTGGATTTTAGCCGCATTCGAAGGAAGCAGAACCAAATCTGGGAGTCGACAAGCCGTGCAAGAAACTAACCCTGCTCTAAAGATAGTAACGTGTGGCGGCCTGCTGGGAAATTCAATTGCAATTAGGGTTTCCTCTCCCCACTTTTACGTACGTAATTGGTTTTCACAGCTTTTCACATTACATTAATTACTGTGAGCTTTACTCTTCCTCCGTGTTGTGTTTCTTCGGGACCATTTTTTCACCCTTTTATTTATTAAAATCCTCTTGTAAACTCCGATTCTCTTCCATAGCTCATTGCTGACACAGGCCTCTTGGAAAACACACGAGCCATTTTCTGCAATTCGTTTTTAGGAGGGAGAACAGCGCGCGCACAAGACGACACCTGGCGTCAAGCTTGCTGATTCACTGCTCACCCCCCACAAAGCGCTTCTCGAGCGGCTCGCTAGAGGCGCTAGTCCGGGGGAGGCGAGGGGTGGCGGCGGAAAGGGTCCTACGTAAGATGGCGGCGGAGTGGTCATGTGACGGTCGCTGAGGCGCCGCCGGCATGGAGTGCTCCAAGGCTGAGAAAGGCCTCGATGCGGGAGAGACGGATGTCGAGGTGGGTGGAAGGGGCATCTCGACTTGGAGTCTCCCACCCCCGTCCCGCTCTGGAGTTTGGATGCCAGAGTGCTGGTCCTGGGCTACCGAAGGGGAGAGATAAAGATGCTAGGGTGCTTTGCCCCTTTGTGGCGCCGAGAGAGGGGAGCACTCCATGGGCTTCGATGAACCCCGAAACGTGTATCGGGTTGCAGTCAGATGGCTCGTGTGTTTATAGTCGGATTGTCGTCTTGTTCACACGATATGTTTTAAGTCTCATCACTAGAACCTGTGCGATTTTTCGTGATGGCTCACCCACAATCGGTGGCAGTATCTTGACTCCTCATACAATTAGTGATACGGTCCCTTTTAACTCTACGGGATCGCTAAATTCAGGATTACTAAAATGGATTGCCCTCCTCGCATCCTTTCGGCATACTGCTTTACCTTGTCAATTATTGTTTTATTTGGTCTGTGTAGCTTCATCCCATACCATATGCCTTAACAACTGGTAGTTGCTGCTGGGATGTCAGGTAGGGAAACGTTCCTTATTCTGCTAACCAAGACCCTTGAATAAAAAGACACCGGTATTGATCATGAAGCCTTTGCATGGGTGTATCCTTGCTATGGATATCCTCCACACACACCTTCAGAATCCTAAATTTATTATGTTATTATTTTCTGTCTTAAGATGCTTCTAACTTTATAAATTAGTTACCTAAAAATGACCTACTAATTCATGGCTTCCTTTTTGGAGTTAGTCTATCTCACATTTAGCTTTCCTGTTTTCCCACTGTAATTTAGCAATTTTATTTTCATCATTATCGGAATTAAAGTTACATAATTCTTCCATAGTCATGAATTTTTCTTTTTAAGGTTCAACCGAAATTCTGGTTTTGAATGTTCTTCAGTAGTTGTGTCATTGTTCTTTTCTACCAGTAATACCTGCATATTTTGGCTTCTTAATGTTTCATCCACCAATTTTTACTCTTCTTTCCTCTGCATCAAATTCAGCTAGTCATATTCTGCATGTGCAGTAGATTGTACTGTACAGATAGGGAAATAAAATACATCTTTGTCATCTTGCCATCTGGAAACCATTTATTTATATTTTTATGTAACTAGACAAAAGTCGTGTTCAACTTGTGTGCACTATGTCATTATGCAGGTCCCCCACCCCTGAAAAAATTCTGCAGTCTTTGTTGCCCAGGCCTCTCATATTGAATGGTGAAAAAAAAATTATGGGAAATGTTAACATTAAACTGACTCTATGAAAAGTACAACAGTGACTTTCCTGGCTGTCATTAAATGAGGTTAAATTACTATTTAAAAAGAAAGGCATATCTGTAACTGCATTTTTTGCCTGCCACATGTATCTGTGCATATTATGTATAGAATGATTTGCCTGGATGTCATTTATTAATGTGTATTTATTTGTGGTGATCCAAATCAGAACTAAACAATACAAATGCAAAATCTGCCAATTATTCTAAACAGTAATTTCTTGTGATTTTATCTTTGTGTCTGGAATCACTGCAGCTCTTGAAAATGAAATAATTTGTCTGGGGGCAAATCACCACCACAGAAAGATGCAGATTGATTTGACTATTAAAATAAAACATACTGATGTGGGATATTGGGTTTCAAGAATGTTGAAAGATGGCAGTGGAAGAAAAAGTTGATTCTTTGTTTTTTCCAGTGCTTGTTCTACGCAGGATTGAAAATATTGATGGTAGGCGCTTGCAATGTAGAGATGGAAGGCTTGTGTGCATGTTTGTGTATAGTTTATGTGGTTGTGACAATAATGCTTGTAGGTGGGCACCATCTGCTGGAAGAGTCTGTATGTGCACAGTTGTAAAATGCTTTGTAAACTCTTTTCTGCAGGAACAATTAGTCATGGTTGAGCTGTCAGGAATAATTGACTCAGATTTTCTGAAGAAATGTGAGAATAAATGCAAGATTTTGGTGAGTGATTAATACAAACTTACACTGTCGTTTTATGTTCGTTCTCCTTCATAAAATCAATCATCTGTATTCAAAACCTATAGAATTCAATAGAAGTATTTCCAGAGATTTTGTGTTGCTTCTTGGCTGCTAGGAAAATATATGTTGTCAGGTGTAAAAAGTGTGTGTGTGTGTAGAGAGAACACTTGGATTAGTTGGGAGTTCCTGCTGGACATATTCACAGTAGAGAGATGTTCTTCATACATCATGATGATGTACATCCATGGAGACAAACACACACACACTATCAGGTATAGGTTTTGGGAAAATTATAAGGCTGAAAAAGAAATTTAAATGGGAATATAGAAAATGTAAAAATCATGAAATTGACATTCAAAATATATTGTATTACCCAAATATGGTGCTAGGGAAGTTACTCCAAAGGTGGGGTTATCTTACAACTTAGGTGGCCTAGCTTGTTCATACCGTAGCTGGCCGGTACCCGAGCAGATAGCTAACCAAGGACACAGCTTGTCCACAGGAGCTAAAATTCTATGTCACAATGTTAAGGCAAAAACATCAAAAGTATATACACAGAGATTTCTAACATGTTTATGGAACATCTCCCAAGGGATACAGACACCTGTTCTTGCAAACAGGGAAGAAATCTCTGCTGGAAATTGGGTAAGAATTATTTTAATGTGATATGAATTACCACAATGCTTATGGTATGCTCAGTTTGTTTTTATAAATAATATGTATTGCAGTAGTGATTTTTAAGTGGCTACATGAGAGTTTATCTATTCGATAGCTTTTTGTTAAGAAAATAGTCTTGTACTAAAGGGAATTTTTTTCTTATATCCTTTTCAATTACTAAACTTAAGTTTTATACTGTTTAAACAGAAGCTCAACGTTATTTTTATATAGAAAAAATAATATGTTTATATATGAATTAGAAAGTTTTGTGATAGAGAACTATGATTTTTCAGTATACATCCATGTATATATTTTGGGCTCTTATTTACTTAATTGCTTGTTTGCTTGCTAAATAAATCTTTTAAAGAAGAAGAAAATTCATTTTTTAATGTTCAAGTCAGATTACTAAAGCATATCCGGGAATGAAAAATTAACTGAGTATAAACAAGGTACAATATCTTCTGAGACCACAATAAAATTCCCTGTCAGGTGTGTGAAGAACATACATTTATAAGTCTCTCATAGGGAGTCTGTAGCTCAGGAGCCCTATAGGGGATGTTTAGATTCCTCCCCCCCTTGTAGAAACTGACATTGGGAGCCAATATGGTGTAAGGGATTGTATGTTGGACTGTGACTCAGGAAACCTGGGTTAAAATCTGGCAATGTTCATTCAGAAGTAAATCCCACTGGTTTAATTATTATTTACTCCCAAATTAAGTGTGTATAAGTTTGCAGATTTACAGATCTCACTAGGCTCACAGTGTCTTTGCAATCAAAATTGCTGGGAAATAATTCACATTTTAACTTTGTTTCTGATATAGTGCTTGTCTATCTTCAATTTAGGGCATAGACACAGAGAGGCCAATTTTGCAAGTGGACAGATATGTCTTTGCTGGGGAATACGAAGGTAAGAATGAAGAACACTTGACTGTGAACATAGCATAAGAAAGCAACAGCAATTTTTGAATCCAAAATTAGGCTCCCATGCCCAATTGCAGTTTGCCTTTAAAAATTAATGGCATTTCAGAAGCAGTTTTTCATACTGATCAAAGAGGGGGGGAAGTACATAATTTTGTTGGTCGTGAGCCTAAGTAGCTCTTTGAATCCTAATCATCTTGTAGATTGCTTTCTGTCTCGCATTAACTGATTTCTACAGACTAAATACACTTGTTAGTTTCTGCGGGCATTAACCTATTGAATCTCACATAAGAGCTGGGCAAGTTCCCATTGAGTGAGTCGGTCTGTTCTAGTTGACATTAGTAACTAGCTCTTAGCCTTTCATTTCATTCAGTAGATATGGCTGTTCAGAGTATTCTTTTTCTAACAGGAAGCATGTATTGTTGCTTAGAAAAATGTTTGTTGTCATCCCCAGACATTCTTGGTACCTGCGTGGTGTTTGAGGAGAACGAAGATCATGGTAAGTGGCAGAAGCTTGGGGAATAGTGGAGGAAATCTGATAATTTTGAAGAGTAAAGTGAATCACTAAATATTGATCTGTAATATCCTTTCTTAATAGTAGATGCGGAAGGTAACCAAAAATTACAGCTAAAATACAAGTGCCACACAATGAAGAAGCTGAACATGACACGGACTCTCCTGACTGAAAAGAAAGAAGGAGAAGAGAATACAGGTGCTCCAGCTCTAAAAAACTCTCACTTTCTAACTATCTTTTCACTCCCTCCACAGTCTATGAACTCTACCGGGTTTGTTTACCAGATTCCATACAGCCATGTCGTGGTTTTCCCACCCCACTCTGTCCAGCTCCTGCACCCGGTCTACATTTTTCCCACTTTTATGTCTCGTCTGCAGAAAGGCTCCTTGCACCAAGCAACTGAGCTTGCAGGGGGCATTGCTTCTGCTTCTCTCCTTTAGGGATCCATTCAGGTCCTGACTCACACTGTCTAGCTGCCTAGAGTGGTCGAAATGACTAGATAGGCGGGGTATAAATACAATAAATAAATAATAATTAAAAAATAGTATCCTGGGACATAATTTTTTAGAAGCCTATTATCAGAAAGTTGTGCAAAGCTGTTCCTGCTCTCCTCTCAGCTGGCATCCCTAGGAGGCCCACCCTCATCTCCAATTTGAGAAAACTAGGGGTCATTCTGTGTTCTGTAACTTGGAGAAACAATAGACTCAGGCAGCTAGAAACAGCAAAAGTGCCATCTGCCTTCAACCACCTATTCCTGTGGTGAGATGCTCCAGACATAAAATGGCACAAAAACCATTTGTCACCCTCTGGTGCCACAAGCAAAGATAAGAGTAAAAATGTCTGCTGTGGAGATGGCTGCCTCTGTATATTACACGGATAACAAAAATGACTTTTGTGCATTTATGATTGCGAGATCATATCGTCAGATAACCTGGAAGGTTATAGGAAATAAAGGAATTGTATATCCCCCAAATGTGGAAGTAGATGTTTCAGTTTTTGTCATAATAATGCAGTATAACAGCCATGAAATCCACATTTCTTCTAATACAGTGTTATCATATAAACATTTATTGCTTAGTTAACTCTGTATGCATAATGCTAACCACTGAAATATTTTACTGATTACAATTTGAGGCACATAGTTAATATACATGGGGCTTTACAAAACTACATCCATGCAGTTGTCCCAAGGCATTTATTTGATTTTTGATACTGAAGAAGTTAACAAAGGGGAATGGACAGAAGGAAAGAAGTAAACATGTTTAATAAAATTAGATTAAATGTTCACTCCCTTCCTGATTTCTTCCTCTCTCCTCTTCTTCCACTTCATTTTGTTGTCAGGTGGTGGTGTGGAATGGCTAGAACTTAAAGACAAAGATTTCTCATACAGCAGACCAAAAATGATTTGCAACTTCTTACATGAAAAAGAAGAGGAGGTGGCTGAGTCTCAAGACAAATTGGCAGAAGAGTCGGATGGCGAAGCTGGTGACATGGGAAACACTGATCAGAGCTTTGAATCGGAGATGCAGCCTCCCATTGATGTGGATGAATTTGTCCCTCTTCCGGATGCTGTTGGCTACAGTGCAACAGATCTCTCCTCTGTGAACAGTCAGGAAGATACTACCATAGAAGATTCTCCACAATGATGTCAAGTCTACAATTCAGTAATAGCAATTAGCACTGATATAATTCAGGTGCGACCTTGTGTTGCTTTTGATTTGTCTGTAGCTTGAACTGGAGAAATGACCACAAATCTGTAAACTAGTTACAATATGAAGTCCACCTTCTGTGAGCTAAATGGCCATTCCTTGTAAGGCTCTTGATGGGTTCTCTTCATCAGTTCAGTGACTCTATTGAGGAAGCTTTCAAGGGATGTGTTTTGAGCAGATTGGATCTGCTCTCCTAAGGAGAAGGGAAGCAAACGCAAGCATTTGGGTATACCTGCTTGGATCCCTGGATTGTGGCTTCTCTTTAAAAGTCCAGTCCTTCCTGTTGATATCTTATACGTACTTCAGTACAGTCTAAAAGCAGAAAACCATGCCCAAAGAACATCCACAACCCATTTCTACTTCTTTTCAAATGTATAAGCAGATAGTGTGTGTTTGTACAGTTTTGCATGTGGACTTTCTCTTTCAAATTGATTGCTGGTTTGAACTTTACAGAGAAGTATGTTGTTGAGCACCTACTGGACTGGTCTCTTTGATTTGTTACTATACAAGAAGTGTCCTCCTCTTCCAGAGCTTGGCCAAGTTAACTTTTTAGGAGTATAATTCCTCAAATCTACGCTGCCAATGAGACCGTTGTCCACACTAGCTAGGAGACTGGGGGAGTTGCAGTTCAAAAAGTAAATTGTCGAAGCACTGTCTTGTCTTCTCACCCTCTTCTACCTCTAGGATTGCCAGCAAAAGCAAATAGTCCCATATATTTCTCAGTAGGTACAGGGCATGCTATTACTAGGTACCTTGGGCATTTTCAGTGCAAAGGACTGCACAGAGCCATTTTGTTATATATCTGGCTTCTTACTAACACCTGCTTTCATTTTTTCAGCAAATCTATTTTTGTAACATCAGCTGCTGTGAAAGAGCTGTTTCTCTTTGCTAGTAAAATATCTAATTTTTGATGAATGTAGTGCTCTCTTCCCCTTCTTAGTGCATAATTATTACAGGCAACAAGCAGTTCACCCTGGCTGTAGAGAAACATTTGTTTCGTAACAATTAATAGGTCTGGCAAAACGACTTTATTTTACTTGCTGTTTTGTCTAGAGAATGGCACATATATTTTCTATCCAAGGACACCTTAAGAGTTACTATTGTGTTTTGCCCCTGTGGTTAAATGTGGTTGTATTTTTCTAGTTATGTTCCAGTACAGTACAGTGGGGTCTTGACTTGAGAACTTAATCCGTATTGGAAGGCGGTTCTCAAGTCAAAAAGTTCTCAGGTCAAATCTGCATTTCCCATAGGAATGCATTGGAAACCATTTGATCCGTATCTGCTCTTTTCCGTCCATAGAAACTAATGGGAAGCTGCTATTCTGCCTTCGACCACTAGAGGGGGATATTTTGTTTCTTTTTTTCTTAGGTCAAGAAAGGTTCAGGGAAGGCAGGGAAAATACAGTCCAGGCAGGACAGTACCAGGCAGTCTGAAGACTGTCTCCCAATCCACTCTCTAAATGCTGGGAGGAGTGAGGAAGCAGACAGGTACCCTTTTCACTGGCCAACAATTAACTGAAAGTTCAAATTTTGCACTTTCCCTGTCTCCCACGTGGTTTTTTTTCAGTTCTTAACTCAAATCTAAGTATGTAAGTCAAGTCAATATTTTCCTATGAGAGTGGTTCTTAAGTCAAAATGTTCTTAACTCAAGCCGTTCTTAAGTCAAGACCCCACTTGTGACATTTTCCCTTCTTTTTTGATGAATTGTTTGAACATGCTTTTGTACTCTGTCCTTAATATTGTATTTTTAATATCGTGTCTAAGTCGCACTGGCCATGTGACCGCAGAAGATTGTCTTCGGACAAACGCTGGCTCTATGGCTTGGAAACGGGGATGAGCACCGCACCCTAGAGTCGGACATGACTGGACAAAAATTGTCAAGGGGAACCTTTACTTTTTTAATATCTTAAATGGGTGGGGGACGACACTGTTCTGCCTCCAAATATTTCTATCCCCTCTTTGTTGAAATAATTTTAAGGTGTCTGTTTTATTTATTTTATTTAAAACATTTCTACCCTTTCTTTCTCTTTAAGAAGGACCCTAGATGGTTTATATAATTCAAAGCCAGCATTTTGCATCTGGGATACCCAGTATGGTATAGTGGATAGAGTGTTGGCCTTGGACCCAGCATGATTGGGTTCATATCCCTGCTCAGCAATGGAAACTCACTGGAAGAGTAGAACTGGTAAAATCATTCCTTAAATACGCTTCTCATTGACTTTGAAAGCCCTGTTAGGCTCACTATAAGTCAGTTCTAACTTGATGGCACATAAATAACAGTGTATGAATTCACATCACCACATTTTATAAAAATATACTGAACTTAGTGGCCCCACACCCACCAACAGGACAACACAATGGAGCCAATAATGGAGAAATGGTGTTTCTGCAAATCTGAGAGACTCCAAAGCTTGCTGAAAAATATTAATATAAATACGATACTATGTGGCTAGCTAGGCAAGATTTGGAACTGGGTAAATAGGAATCTACTCATCTGGCCCTAGATTTCAGCAATCTCAGTCTAAATGCAGGGGATTTTCCAACTTCTTAACATTCCCCATGCTTCATTGCTGATCCTCTGTGCTACAATCTGAAATTTTATCAAGGTAAATAGAGACATAAAGTTAAATTGTATAGTGCTGACAATATTTGGCCAACCTAGCAGTTTGAAAGCATGTAAAATGCGAGTAAATAGGTACCACCTTGGGGGGAAGATAATGGTGTTCAGTGTCTAGTCGCGCTGGCCACGGAAACTGTCTTCGGACAAATGCTGGCTCTATGGCTTGGAAATGGGGATGAGCACCATACTCTAGAGTCAGACACGACTGGACTAAATGTCAAGGGAAACCTTTACCTAACAATATTTGGAATAGTGGGATTTGCCAGTGGAAAAATCAATTATTCATACTCATTCCTTAAGATTTGTGTGAACATGCAGTACCTTCTTGGTTACTTGGTTGGTTTCCTTTTATTTCATATGCTTCTCTGGTAATCTGTTTTCTGTCTCTGCCATTGACACATGCATTCCTTTGGAATAATCTACTATAGAGAACACTTGGATTAACTGTTTTTAGAATCTTGTAAGTTATGGTCATGGATAATTTTCCATGTGTGTATAATTATAAAAATTAGATATTTTTCTGTACTTTCTACCTTACCTGTTTTTTTCCAGTGCCAGGCAACTAATCTTTCAGATTAATATTTTTATTATTGCTGTGTGGAGTAATAAATTTCCTTGTGGTGCAGTGGTTAAACTGCAGTACTGCAGTCGAGACTTTGCGCATGACCTGAGTTCAGTCCCTACAGGTTGCAGTAGAATAGCTGGCTTGAGGCTGACTCAACCTTCATCCTTCTGAGGGTGGTAAATTGAGTATTTTATGAGGGTGGGCAGGCAGAAATGTGTAGCTTGCATAATTAAATTGTAATTTGCCCAGAGAGTCCTTAGTGCTAAAGGGTGGTACAGTATTTAAGCCGCACACTTTGCTTTTGCTTTTTTAGAAAAAGTCTCATAGAAATGGATGGAAATTATTTGGAAATTAATTCAGTCTGTTCAGTCTAATCTGTATAAAGTAATGCGGAATCAGGAATTGGACATGTTGCTTTTGGACTACAATTCCCAGAATTCCCATCTCGCTTGGCTGGTTGTCATCGGAAGGGGTAACTTTTCCAAGCCCTGAGAGGATCGCAGTCTCAACCGTCAA